AACTCACAACTATCAAAAGCAGAATCGAATTCGTGAAAAATGTTATTTTGGTATTGGGGGGAATGGGTTAAGGATGATCTTAATAAAAAAAAACAATTTAAATCAGAACGGAAAAATTCTGACAGAGTTGTAAATTTAACCACGACTCATTCATGCGCGTGCTGCCTGGTCCAGAACGACTACTTAATCCAGAAGTTCTCTGAAGAAATAAACATGTTTAGTCTAGGGAATTGTTCTTGGCAAAAAAAATGAAACCTTTCACGTTTCATTTGGAGCATAATGACGAGGTGTAACGGTTGTGCATTAGATATATGTGCTTAACGGGAAATTCCGTTACACTCACCAAAATCATTCAAATTTCAAATTAATTTTCTTAATTCGACTGATGACATGATAACTCACAAGTAATCATCTATTACACGTAGGTCTGTGAATAGACAAAGAACAGAAAAACTAATAGAAGGAAATAACTCGATCCTACAACAACATACCACAAACAAGCGTTCAGAATGACATTCAAGGGATTTGTGTGAGCTTTCTACCTCTGCTATGCTTGGAAGCATAGTTAAAAGACCATCGAAACGAGTTCAAAGTGTGGCGGTGAGGTCAATCTCAACTCAAGTCAAATCTCTGATTGTCTGGACTTGTTGCCTTCTGTTCGATATGGATCAGAATAGCTAATGCATTCCCATCTTCTGATTGTGGATATGAGTGGACAAGAAATGACAAAAAGTGTTGCATCATGATTGAACCATGTGTTAATGACTTAAGCATCGATGAATTACAGCCAGCATACAGGAGATCTTTTCAAACTCTCATGAATTGATTTCAATTTATTAGATGATCCTCCCTCAACAAACACCTCATAAACTAAATATTAGTCAAATTCACATGTTCAATCAAATGTAATTCCATTATACAAGAAAAAACTAATGAACTGTAGATCTAAGAACCTAAGAACAAATTCATCATTGGGTAGTGTGTTGGGCAACTTATACGATACTGGAATAGTTATACAAATGAACAAGACGCAAGAGGAGTGTTCAACGGGACGTACTGCTTACTCTATCACATATCAGAATGAATGCAACTACTGTTTGCTGCAGTCAACACGTTCACTGAATGTAAACAGGCTCATTTGGAAACATTTGTTTCACTGGAACAAAATGCAACCAGGCCTTCTTCATTTTATACTTTCGAAGCGACTGGGAGCTGTTGCGCACCACTTCTAATTCTAATAACCATCGCTTCGTCATGTATAGACAAAATTCAAAATATTCATAAAGTGAGAAACAATATCAAAGAAAGAATCAAAAAGTGAAAAAAACGAAAATCATAACAGATAAGATGAAATGAGGAATTAGATCCAACGTGAATGGCAGTAGACCATCTCTGTAAATATAGTACGAACCATAACTCACTCATTGAGATGATCAGTTTTTTTGGCATTGGGAATGGGGGACTATGAAGCAACCAAACGAACTTTCTTCTTCGTCTCTCAATATAAATTCATAATGAAGTTATACAACGAACACGGAATCAAACTTCTTCGACACCTTTTTCATTCTCTTAGCAGCTGTATATGAGGATCAGGTGGATTCAGTAGCTGCTATGAAATTTTCTCAACCTCAATACTTCTTTCAAAAACTTTGAAGATAATTTGTGTTGCATTTGTTATACTCATAAGAATGAGTCCGTTGAGAAAACCTGTGGTGCGGTGTTGTTCTGAACCGTATATGATTGAAAAAATCAAATCTTCTAACCATCCTGTTCGCCCATGACTCGTAAGAGAGTTTGGAAGATGCATTATTGAGTTTGAGGGGTATGGCAACTGCAGTCTCAACGGAATATCTGACGCTGATTTCAACTATGTTATGGTTATGATTCAAATACTTGTTCCCCAAGGGTATCAATATGAATTTACTGTAGTAAGAAGTATGAGAAACGTATATGAAACACATGATATTCATTTAATGAGTGAAAGAGAGCCTAGAGCAGTTACTAGATGTGTTTGAACATCAATTATGAGATATGGCAGTATCATATCTATTCTTCTAGTATGAAGTTTCTGAATGAGTTGAGTTGAAAACTCAAACCTGGTTTTCTATGTCTTTTTCGCCAACTTTAATAATCAAATCTGTGGCAGATTTCACTGTTTTGAGGTCTTCGACTAACATGATTTAGATCGATTTGTAGCTTCATATACTTTAAGCTGTTAGAACATAATCAAATTTGATGCGTCGTTTGAATATTGTTTAAAAGAAGGAAACAGATTGGAAAACTTGTTAAGTTTGGCCATCATATCTATGCTTCATGTGAGATGGTTATGATAATTGGTTTGTTCATTGTAACAAACGTTTTCAACTCTTCATCATCTCTATTGACCTCACACATGACGTTAAGGTAACATTTAGAGATGGAGTATAGTTCGAGGGTCATCTGGTTCCAGAAGACATGTACCAATTATTCCTTATATGACTTGCTCATTTCGCCACTTATAGTTTGGGGGTATTTGCTGCCAAAGATGGTGTCATCTGCCAGCAGAATGACGCACAGATTTCGCGCTTAAATGAGATTAGTGACAGCTTGACTTTCCGAATTATTTTTTTCTTGTTAAAACAACATATTATATAGAAGTACATAGTTAGATGTCTTAGAGTACGAGAAGAAGGGGAAGGTTCTAAGCTTTTATTGAAAAAAACTTTTTCTTCTCCTCATGGAATGGTTGTCAATAACGAAGAAGAGCTTCATCTCAAACATGAGAAACCAGCCGATCCTCACCATTTGAATGTTGATTAGACGATTTGTTTCAGACCATGAAAGAGTTTTAGAAAAAAAACGTGGAAAAGCTATGATCCGTTTGCTCCACCCACTTGAGATGTATCGTATCCTTCATGTCAGATGCTACATTCTCGCTAGAGTACATTTCAGATAAAGAGGTTACAGACAACGGACTCCGCCCATCGAGATAAAGGGGTTGGACCTTCTGAAGCTTCTGGACGTCTCATCCATCTCGTCTTCCGCCCAGTAGCAGCAGATTCGTTAGTCTGCCTTGTTGGCTTGTTATCGGCCTCGTTAGCCGTTCTTCATGGAAGTTCATCATCCCAGATTCGCGAATTCTGCGTATGCGGCATCGCATCCGGATGATCAGCGAACTTCGAGTTATGTAGTGGCTGGGCTAGATGATGCTGTTGTTCCATTATCTCTGGCATCTGAAACTACATCGCCTGCGACATCCTATGAGTGTGCTGGATCTGTCGCTCCAGCCGCCGCCGGCGGCGGCGTCGCTCGAATGAATGTAGACGAGGATTACATCTATGCTTCAACAATCAAGGTGGGATTCTCAGCCTAAAAGCCTTTTCTTCTTTCGTTATCGGCAGCTTTGTCAAAACTTCACTGGTTGTGCTGCCAGATGGAAGTTTGTGAAGTTGACGGCAAGACGTGTTCTTGTTTTTCTATCTTTGTTGTCCCGTTCTGATCTTCGAAGTATTTCAGGTCGATGTGGATACATGCCCTGCTTGTGACCTCCAGATAACTGATCGAACGCTGCTGCATTTTAATGGAAGGTGAACCCGATCGTGAAAGCTTCATCCCTAAATTGGCAATTTAAGATCATGGCATGAAGAATGTCTTCGATGTGCTGCTTGTGCATCAGGGCTTAGTAACCAACCAACATGCTTCTTGAAGGAAGGGAGCGTTCTTTGTAAAGCATGTTATCACAGGTTTGCTTATCATATCATCTTAACAAACTGCTGAGAGAATCTAGCACTCAGTGCATATGTGTGAGAGGGCTTTCCCAAAGTTCAATTCCTTCAACTCGTTTTATTATAGTTAACCTCTTATTCGTACTTAAATATCTCGTCAGATGTTTTAGAATCCTATGTTCGAGGGCATACGGTATTCGCTTAATATGATTATTGGCCATACTTGTACGTTCTGACGATTATCTTGTTAGGAGGTTGACTAAGCGACAGCTGGTTTAGAGACAGAGTGCGAACTATTCTTAAACAATTTCATAATTCGAGATTGGGGAACTCCAATTGGAAGCTTTTTCATTTAAGTAGAAGAGAAATCTTCTGTGGATACTCGAATGAAACTTGTTTTCCTCCCTCTCTCCTGTACTTCTCCAATCAAGGGAGAAATGCTCATAAACTCAAATTTTTCAAAAATCCTTATAGTCCTACAGTAGTTGTATAATTTATAACTTCCAATACTACCCCTGGCTTGTTTCAAGAAAGGTGTACAACAAGATTTCTTCCATGCCATCTGTCAGGTGAGCGAACAAATCCTTACGTCATCGACTAGACTACCGTATTAGCAGATTAGATGACATCTGACTATCCGCTACACGCTTATTAACAAGGTTGAGATGCCTGATGTTAAATATCTTTTTGAAACTAAATTGAACGGTATTAAATCCTAATAAGGATGTTTAGCATTCGTTTATAGCTTATTATGTAATGAACACCATACAGCTCAGACAAGTAACATATAGTTAATGATCTGTATATCTTCATTACTCCTTCTCTTGGCTTAAGTTAAGGATGTCGTATCCATCCATTCATGTGAAGGTCAAAACTCATCTAATCGGTGTTGTTGCGTTTCATATTCCAAGTACGGAAGTCAATATAAAGAAGCTCTTAAAGAAGAGTTTCGTTAACTGCTAATTTCATGTGTAAATTGGCCTTCTGGTGTTGGAGACTATGTAAACGATGGACACGATGATTCAAATGTAAAGATGATGTAGTTAAGAGAATGGACAGAAAAAGAAAAGAGCAAAAAAAAAGAAAAGAGTAACAGACGTGTAAGGAACAAGAGAACACCACTAAACACTTGTGGATGAAAAGGCTAGGCGCCAATCGGATTAGAAGGCCTTCTTTCATCGTCTGTCTTCAATAGTTCCTTTTTCTCTGAGTCTCCTCAGTTTGTATTGTCTTTACATTAAATAACCGTTCATTCAATTTCTGGTAAGAAAGCTCTGTTATCGCCTTTCCGTTTCTGTGACTTGATAGAAGAAGGACATAAGAAGCGAGAACATACTTGTGCAATCTGAAATATAAAACAACAGAAAAGAATCAGAAGCCGACGACGACATTTATCAAAGGAAATCGTCGGTGGCAGATGCGTTAATCTACTCAGCTTTTTCATTTTCTTTCACTCTATTCACTTTCCTCCTTCCGTTAGTTGTGTCGTCGTCGACGTTTAAAGTCGTAAAACGTCTTAGAAGCTTGTAGAGAGAAGAAGGATCTTGTAAGATGAAGGA